ATAACAGATAAACCTAGAGAGCATGAGCCTTTTATAGTTCACATGGCCATTTGGAGGGAGCCTCTGTGAAAGTGTTTTTGAGATTACATATCCAAGGTTTCTTCTAACTTGAAAACCAAGTAGTTCTTTGATGTGCTACCCCATTAGTTACTGGGCAAATAAGAAAGCCGAACAATAAGAGGGTTTAAGACAGTCAGACAAACAACACAACCCAAGCAGGCCAGTCTCCCAGAGCTGATAAGCTTGTGTCCACTTGAAATGGCACTCCTCAAGCCCTTTCTCCAAGTTTATCTTCCCTGGGATCTCATGCAGCAGACCCCTCCTCTGTTGGCTAGAGCCCTGCACAATGCCCCTGTGCTTCCAAAGGGGGACATTAGAAATAGTCAACATTGGCCAATAGTCTGTTCTTTAAAAGAGAAAAGGCACACAGCCTAGGAAATAATCTCTTTGGAGTGGAGGTGAGCAGTTAAAAAATTTTGTAGACCCCAGAGTACTTACCCTACATCTGTGAGAATAGTAGCCCTCTCCACCTCCTCTCAACAACAGCAGTGCTGGCACCATGACCTATAGGAAAAGAAAATACTATTGTAATGAATGTAATGCTGCCTTTTTGGAATAAAGTTTTGGTTGTGTCATTTCCTATTTTAAAATGTTTCATGATTCCTCATTGACTATAAGACAAAACTCAGGCCATGGACAGGTGACACAGCCCTTTGTGCCCCAATGTCGTCATGCCGTAGAGCCCCACATCTTCTCCTTCATTTGAGTCATCTTGGTATACGAGCTTGTGGGCTTCTAAGATTAATTCAGCACCTTCCTGCATCTGAGCCTTTGAATATGTCAATTTCCTTTGCTAAAAGCCCTTCACCCTAGGCTTTGGGCAAACTCCTATTCACTGTCAAGGCCAATTCAAAAGTTATTTCCTGAGGTAAGAGGAGGAAAAATAAAAATGGCCCCAAGGTATTTTTACTTCCAGACTCCCACTGGTTGCTGATGTGTGTCATGGTAGAACTGTGTTCCATAGAGTTTAAATGGCTGTTATTTTAGAAGTAGATCACCAGGCCTTTCTTCTCAGAGGGATCTGGGTAGACCTGAACCTCCAACCTTTGCATTAGCAGCCAAGTGAGTTAGTAATTTGCATTTACACCACCTAGGGACTGACTCCTCTGGATCCCCACAGACTGTGAATATAACCTTATATAATAAATAGTATGGTTAAGTTAAGGATTTTGAGAGAGATTATATCCTCAATTATCTGGGTGGTGACTGTTATGGATTGAATTGTGTCATCCAAAAATATGTGTTGTAAATCTTAATCCCTGTACCTGTGGTTATAATACCATTGGGGAGTGAGTTTTCTTTGTTATGTTAATGGGACAGTGTAGGGTTATGTTGTAAGTCAAGGACCTCTGGTTGCATAGTGGATAAGGCACTTGACTGCTAACTGGAAGGTCAGTGGTTCAAACCCACCAGCCACTCCATAGAAGGAAGACTGGGCAATCTACTTCCATAAAGATTTACTTCCTCAGAAACCCAATGGGGGTTGTTATGAGTTGGAACCAACTCAATGGCAGTGGGTTTGGGTTTTTTGCTTTATGTTTTAAGTCAATCTCTTTTGAGATATAAAAGAGAATAAATAAGCAATTGAGTGAGCAGGGATGAGGAAGGGGAGATACCAAGCCACATGAAGATGACCTAGGAGCAGACGCTCAAAAGAGACAGGGACATTCTTCTAGAGCCAACAGGGAGAGAAAGAGTTCCCCTGCAGCTGGCACCCTGAATTCAGACTTCTAGCCTCCTAAATTCCTGTTTGCTAAAGCCACTCATTTGTGGTGTTTCTGTTATAGCAGCACTGGACAACTAAGACAGTTCCTAGAGGCATTCACATGTATCCTTATGAGACAGAGATAGTGGGAGTTCTGAGAGATGACAGAAGAGAGGGTGATGTGAAGATGGAGGCAGGGGTTGGAGTAATGCAGCCACGAGTCAAGGGATGCTGGCAGCCCCCAGAAGCTAGAAGAGGCTTGGAAGGGATGCCCCCTACAGCCTCTAGAGGGAGTACTGCCCTGCTGACACCTTAATTTCAGACGTTTGGCCTGCAGAAGTGTGCAACAATAAATTGCTGTTGTGTTAAGCAACTAAGTTTGTGGTAATTTGTTATAGCAGCCACAGGAAACCAATACATCTCTATGTAGCTTTCAGTGACAGGCAAAATGACTCATTCCTTCTTTCATGTCAGTCTCTCCTATTGCACTGAGCACACCGTGTTTTCCTTCTGGACTCTGAGCTTTGTGGGCACCTCTTACCACAGTGCCCAACACAGAATCAGGACCCAATGATAAGGTGCTAAAATTTGTGGTGACATTTCCACATGCTTCTTCTAGTAGTGTGGGGTAGGAGAAAGAACACTGGCATGATACCTACCTCACTGAGACACTGCCCCTTTATGGCCCAGACTGAGCTGCGTGCTGTCCTCTGTCTTGGCATTTTTAAATTTCAACTTACGAGAGTCCTGAAACCTGTATTCTATCCCTTACTATGTCATAAACTCGATTCATGGTTTGGATCTAGCTTAATCTATCCTGAGTCTCTATTGTAATTCTATAAAATAAGGAAATTAAAATATATGACATCTAAGATTCTTTCTAGAGTCCCTGGTGGTGCAAATGGTTAATGTGCCCAGCTGCTAACTAAAAAGTTAGAAGTCTGAGTTCACCTAAAGGTACCTTGGAAGAAAACCCTGGTGATATTCTGAAAACCAGCCATTGGAACTTAATGGAGTACAGCCTTACTCTGATATATGTGGGTTCACCATGAGTCAGGATAAACTTGATGAAAACTGGTGGGGTAAAAAGATTCCAGTTCAAGGACTCTGTTTTAAGAATCCTTAAACAGTCCAAGATTTTGTCTTTGGATTGGGTAAGAATGCTGTGTGGTAGCCTTTTCATGGTCTGGGTGCTTAGGAGGTTAGAGAGGAGAAGCAGAGAGGATCAAAGGCCTGACAATTGAGTCCTTCCTTCTCCTTCTTCATGTCCTGCCTTATTTTCTTTCCTCAGAACACTGGCATAAATCAGGTCATCAGCTCAATTCTTAACCCCAGAAAAGAAGGTTCTTCAAAGACAGAAATTGGGCTGCAAAAAAATTACCAAATGACTGAATGTCTTAGACTGTTTTATTTCATGAATAAAGCATATTAAAGTTTTCTAGAAAAGCTTGACTAGTGTAATGAGTGTTTCCTTTGACTTCTGTAACAAAGTACCACCAAGTGGGTGAAGGGCAACAGAAATTTATTCTCTCACAGTTCTGAGGCTAGAAGTCCAAAATTGAGTGTCAACAGGGACATGCTTTTCCTGAAGGCTCTAGGGAAGGATTCTTCCTTGCCTCTTCCAATTTACGATGGTAATCCTTGGTGTTCCCTGGGTTGTAGACCCATCACTTCAATCTCCATTCTCCCTGTATGTCTGTGTCTAATTTTTTGTCTTCTTTTAAACCCCACAGCTACTCCTCGGAAGGAAGATTGGGCAATCTACTTCCTCAGAGATACTACCTCAGAAACCCAAGGAAGAGTCCTATGAATTGGATTCGACTCTACGGCAGTGAGTTTGGTTTTTGGTTTTATAAAGACTTAATGGCAACTCCCCCCACCCCCATGGTCTGGCTAAGTCTTCAAATATTGATGGAAAATAACCATTAGTTGTTACACAGGAAAAAGAAATGGTACTCTGTTTTTTGCTCCCCTGGGTACTCAATTCAAATTATGTTGTGTTTCTCTCAGATACACAGTTCAGCCACAGGTGCTTTCCAGGAGTTCTGAGTTTGCCTGTGGATCCAGGAAAATAGAGTTTTTATTCTTGGCATTGCTGGATTGAGACAACAGGCTTGCTGATGGCACCAGGCTGCCTTCAGGGAATCACAGGGGGTGCTGCAATGACTTCCCCCCAGAAGAGAGACATGCTGCTGCACCTGTCTTCATACACCATGACAGGATGACTACTTGAGCAACCTGTCAGTGGACAGTCTGTTTGGTTGGGAGGACTAGGAGGTGGTGACTCATGTGGCCTTGTTTTTCTGTCTCATCTGAAAAGCAGTACTGTCTGCAACAGCCTTCTGAAGTTCCTTCATCGTTTCACTGGGACATGAGCATGAAGCCAGGCATCAGGTCACATGAACTTTGTGTATGTTACTGCTCACTGTGTCCTCACTTGTGTGTGCACATGCATCAGATGATGGAGTATATTGGTTTGCTAGGGCTGCCATAACAAAGCATCACAAACTGGATGTCTTAAAATAACAGAGATTTAGGTGTTGACAGGGATAAATTCTCTCTGAAGGATCTAGGGGAAGATTCTTCCGTGCCCCTCTTCCAGTTTCTGGTGGTTTCTGGCAATCCTTGGTATTATTCCCTGGCTTCAGTGACATCACTAGGAGTGTGTGGGGGTGTGGACTGCAACTCATGACAATTTCAGAGGGGGTGACACCAAAATGACTGTGTATAAAATTTTCATGCAGTGTTTCAGCAGAAACTTATAACAAAAAAAATATTTTTCATAAGCCCAACTTACATTTTTAGCCCACAAAGCTAAAACTTTATGCTATTTACTTTTTAAACCCTCTAACACACTGCTGTCAGAGCTGTCACTGTTACTCAGTCACACTGACACTTCAAATCATGTGCGCTGCAAGAGTGGGCTGTTGTTTTTGTTGCCGCAGGTATTTTTATAGTCACTAATTTTTGTCAAATTTTCTGGTGTTTTAGCTACAATATTGTGGTAAGTAGTATTTGTGAACCTCTATCAGTAACTGTTTTGAGACTGAAGCCGCAATTAAAGGAAAAGAAGGAGAAGAATAAAAAATGACTTCTGATTGGTAACTAATAATGTTATAAATAATAATGTAATTCAGTGCAGAAAGATTTTACATAATGATGTCATTAATATTCATATGATCTAAGAAATATTATGTTTAAGCAATTTACAACTATATTTATCACATATTTTTCTACGATTAAAATTGATAATAAACATTACTAACTCCTTGGAAGGAAGATGGGGCAATCTACTTGCATAGTGATACTGCCTCAGAAACCCAAGGAGGGGTCGCTATGAGTCGGGTCCAACTCGACAGCACATAACAACAACAACAACAAGGATTCTGTATGGTCTGGTATGGGAGGAGATCTGTGTGTAGGGAGTGGCATCATCAGTTATTGCATTGAGTCACATGAGCCCTGGTGATGCCACCGCTTGACTTGTAGGTATATCACTGCAGTCTCACCTGTGTCTTCACATGGCTATCTTCCCTTTGTTTGTCTCTCTCTATCTCTTCTCCTCTTTTTATAAGGACATCAGCTACATTGGAATGGGACTCAATCTACTTCAGTATGACCGCGTGTTAACTAATAACATCTTCAAAGACCTTATTTTCAAACAAGGTAACATTCACAGGTACCTAGGATTAAGATTTCAACATATTTTTTGGGGGGACACAAGTCAACATGGAGAAATGGAGAGAAAACAGGCTTTGGAATCAGATGGGTGTTCAAGTCCAGTTCTGCCCTGTACTACCTGTGTGGCCATGCCCAGATTATTTAATCTTCCTGGGCCCCATTCATCTCTCATAAAATGGGGATGATGACAGCTACCTCACAAAGATGCTGTGGGAAGCAAATGAAATAATATGTGTGTAAGCATTTTATACTCTCTAGGGCTTTGTGCAAATGCCTGTTATAATTATTATTAAAGGGCAGAAACTGTGAATTCTGATCTTGCCTTCCACAGATCCTTGATCAGGGTTCTGTGTGGAACTGATGCTGAATAAATGGCTGTGCTTATTATGTCCCTTGTGGCTTCTGAAGTCTTGTTCTGATCTTCCTTATATCAGGTAAGGTAAGCTCAACCTATGGCCCTTTCTTCTTCCACTCAGAGTGGAGCCTTTGGGGAGATTGTACCACACACTGTCTCTAGTTTCTCACTTCCACTGACTCCCAGCCCTTTGCTGTCTGGAGTCCACCCAGGCACTCCTCCAGGACTGTGACTGCCAAGACCCAATGAGCACCTTGCTATCCCTTGGAATCTTTTCAGGCCCAGCTTATATCCCCTCTGCTGTAACTGACTTTATAATCCCTCATTCCTTCATGAAACTTCCTCCTTCAGTTTTTCTAACTTTTCTCTTTTTCTTTGACTTTCTAGCTGTTCTTTTTCAGTCTTCTTCACAGGCTACTCTTCCCTACATACCTCTCAATGTTGGATGTTCCCTAGGTTTTTGACCAAGGTTTATTTCTCCTCTTCTTTTATTCACAAGCCCTGGGCAAACCCACTGCCATCGGGCTTCCACATCACCTCTCTGCAATGGTTCTCAGTCTTGTTTCTCTCTCCTGGTCTCCTGTCCCAGCCCAACCAGCCTCTGACCCTTCAGTGTGGGTGTGAAATAGAGCTCACCATCTCCTTTCCCTCCAAACTTCACTGCTGAGCTTTGCTGAGATACCATCTTGGGGAGTCCACCACCAGCTCCCCAGGTGCCAGTTCAGAAAGCCAGAGCCAACCTAGACTGCCCCCACCCTCCACATCCCATTGATCTTCAGGTTAATTGCTCAGATTCACTCTACTCTCTTCAACAATGCCCACTGCCTTAGTTTGTCTTGTGGCTGTGCATGAATAAAGGTATAGAATGGACACTGAAGACTGAGTGAACATAGCAAGAAGGAAAAATAGGACAAAAAGAAGGAAGGAAGGAATTAAAAAGGAAAAGAAGAAAGGGGGAAAAGGAAAGAAAGAAGAGAAAAGAAGAGAAGGGAGAAGACTGGCTTGTCTCATTGGTTTTTATTTTACCAATTTCATGGCCTGGTTTAGTCCTGTTTCCTTTGTCCAGCATTTCACTGTGAGTATGGTGGTGTAGTGCCTAAGGCATTTGACTGCTAACCGGAAGGCTGGATGTTCAAACCCACCAGCCACTCCTCATAATGAAGGTTGGGCAATCTACTTCCGTAGTGGTACTGCCTTGGAAACCCAAGGAGGGGTTGCTATCAGTTGGATCCAACTCCACGGCACTGAGGTTTTTTTTTTTTTTTGGTTTTATCCACTTGTAATCATCTGTCCAAATGTCCAGGGGAGGTTTTGCTGGAAAGCTGGAGTGAGAGTTGGGCAATCCAGCTGGTACTAAGGGATACTATGGAGACAGGGTGTTTGGTCCATGACTGATCCAGGCCACATTCTGATTTGGAATATTTTCCCTCTGGGCATCTCTTGTTAGTAAACATTCTGGAATTCTCCTATTAGAAAACCCATTTTCTCAAGCCACTTGAGGCCTTTCGATTGTCGCTGTATTTACTCATTTATATATTGAAAGAAGTTAAGTGGTAGTGGAATAAAAAAATTCTGTAGAGGAACACAGTGAGGCTTAGAGGGGTTTATAAATTATTTGGTGGTGGAGTTAGACAGTGCAAATCTGTCCTTCAGAAATAAGCAGGGTAGGTAAGAGTAGAAGCCAGGCACACTAGGCTGTATCAGCAGAGGAGGTGATGAGGTAATCCAGAAAAGATGAGAAAATCCATGTTGGAAGCTGCCCAGTATGTGTGAGGTTTATATACATTATTACTTAATCTTCACTAGCACCTTGTACAGTGGTGTGATTCTCCTTTTACTGAAGCTTATGGAGGTTGCATAGCAGTTTGGTGCAGATTGGCGATTGAGCAGGGGTGTGAGACTCCAAGGTGTGTGCTGCCTCCTAGAAGAAGGTCTGAGCTGAGACACGGCTAACTTTTACCAAGTTATGGCTGGTGTAGATGTTGTTGATACACTGTGTATTCTCTCACACAGGAGTCCTAACCTCTTCCATAAATGGAAAGAATAGGTAGTCTTTCCCACTGTCAACCACTCGGAAAGGGATCAAAATAGGAGATCCTGGAGAGAGTGGGAGATCAACGTGGAACAAAACTCAAAATCATAAAAACGACCAGATTTATTGGTCTGATAGAACTGGTGAAATCCCCAAGACTATGGCCCCTAGTCACCCTTCAGGTTGGAATTGAACTCTCTCCCATAGCTTCCAGCCAAACAATGGGCAGGGGTATAAGGTGAACATTTACACCAAGTAGGTACACTCCTTAGAACAATCAACCATGGGAGATCAGAAGGGCAGTATCAGTGCAAGGAGATTGTTCAGAGGGCAGGAATGAATAGGAAAGGAGGACACAGGTAAAAGGTAACCGCAGGGAGGAAGTGGGAAGAGAGAGCTGTTACATTATGGGGATTGTAGTCAATGTCATGAAACAAAATGTGTATGAACTGTTTGTTGTATGGAAGATGAATTTGTTCTGTAGACTTTCATCCAAATCACATTTAACAAAAACTAAAAGAATAGGCAGTCTTTGAGTGCAACTTGAGATAACACTGTGCCTGCTACTATGTGGGGAGAAGAAATGGGAACCTTCTTTTTCCTTATGCCCCATCCACTTGCTAAGCACGCAGTGCCTGGCATTGGGATCTCACATAAACAAACTATCCTTCATAAGGGGACATTGGACACTTGGGACAGGAGCAGTCAAATGAAAATAAAGGTAGCAGGGAAAGAAAATACTCATTGTCTATCTCAGAGGTGACAAACTATAGCCTGCAGACCATATCTGTACATGATGAATGTACTTAATGTTATTGAACTGTCCATTTTTACAAATAAAGTTTTATTGAAACACAGGAACTTCCATTTGTTTATATATTGTTTATGATAGCTTTTGCTCTATAATGCAGAGTTGAATAGTTGTGATAAGAGATTGCATGGGCCACAAAACTAGAAATATTTACAAAGTATTTTACAGGGAACGTTTACCAACCCTTCCTCCACCTGATCATAATTTTGTCAAGGGAAACATTGATAGAAGCTTCACAATTTAATTTTCAGAATGGTTGTCTGTGATTCTGCCAAATATCCTGTATTGTGCTCTTTATAAAGTGTATCTTTCATGAATTAGCAAACATGTTTTAAACTCTTGTTTGAAAGGCACTTAGAAGGCAGAGGTGAATGAGATTTGGGCCCTGTTCTTCAGGAGCTCACAGCCTAATGGGTGAGGCAGATACATAAACAGATGCTTGCCATACAATGTGTTGAGCGCCAGTGTGGAGAGTGTTTACATGTAATAAGTTGTGGAGTACAGAGAAGGATCAGCCAGCTAGGCTTGGAGAGCCCAGGGAAGGTGGTCCCAAGATGAGGTGACTGGAGGAGATAAGATAGCTAAATCTCATTCTTACCAAAAATCCAGCTCCAAGAAAGCCATGAAAAAACCAGACCAAGTCTGTGATTTTGTCAGGCTCCAGCACCTGCCAATTGGGAAAGTAGAGCAGGAGGTTGGCGATGATGGCTGCAGTGGCCAAGGCCAACAGCAGTATGCTTATGCACCTGGACCCCTTCTCAGAGCACATGGTGACTCCACTCTGGAATGGAGAGAGAAAATAGCTGAACTGGGAAGCTGCCCATTCTAGTGGTTGCAGAGTAACAAGAAAGGGCACCGTTCTCAGAGCCCAGAGAGCCATGTGGCAAGTTTGGCTCTGCCAGTGGTAGGTCGTATGACCTGGGGCACCAGTTAACCTCTCTGAACCTCAGTTTCCTCTGAGTAAAGCTAAAATAGTGATACGAACTAAAGCTCTAGGTCACACAGACCTGGATCCAAACTCTGGCTCTATCACTTAACAGCAGTGTGACCTTGGACAAGTTATTTAACCTCTTTTGCCTCAATTTCCTCATCTGTAAAATAGAGCTGATAGTAGTATACACCTGCAGGATTGCTGAGGGGATGAAAATAAGACAGTGTATTCAAAATGTTCCCATACAAGGCTTGCTGTGCACGGTAGCTGGAGAAATGAAGAACCAAGGGATCTGCATCACCTTGGCCTCTCGTTTTATTTATGTGGAAAATTTCCTTTCACACTTTCTTTGTCAGCTGAGTTTATTGAGCCTGGAGATTTCAGAGAAGCCAGGATGGAGGGACATTCAGAGAGGGGAAAGGTTTTACTCCTTGTTGTCTTCTCTGCATTTCTCCTCCAGGAAGTAAACCAGGGTGGAATAAATTCAGTACTTCATTTGCTGGCTGTACTGGTTACCTAGTGCTGCTCTGACAAGAAATATACCACAAATGGGATGGCCTTAAAAAACAGGAGTTTATTCTTACAATTTGGAAGCTTTAAGTTCAAGTTCAAAGTGCCAAGCCCTAGGGGCTGGGTGAAAGCCCCTCAACCTTGGGGTTCAGCTCTGCCTCCTGCTCATGGCCCACTAGAGCTAGAGGCATTTCTTCACTCAGACAGCTGCTGGCTGCTGAGGCTGAGAAGCCCCAAGGTTGACAAGTCAAAAGGCACAGTCCCGATGTTACCAAACCACACAGCAGGCCATTAACTTAAGTCCATTGTAAGTCCCAAAGTCTGCAGAGCATAGCAGGCTGCTGAGCAATGACACGGCTACATGCAGGGTCCAAGCATGCCATAGGCTAGAGACCATTCTCAAAACTTCTCCTTATATACAGGAAGTAGATCACATACCCAAAGGCAGCTACTCAGCTGTTCACAGTAGATTCCACCATGGAGTTGATTACCAGTCTCATCATGGGGAATACTACATCCACCTGCCCACCCACTCAACCAGGCCTAGCCAAGTTGACACACAAACATAACCATCACATTGGCCAAGGGCTGTTGGAGAAGTGTATGGACACTGGAGCTCCACCCCAAAGGCCCAGGGTTCTCTGAACATGCCTCTGAAACCTGGGGGGAGTTCCTGTTTCATGTTAGGAGGCACTAATGCTAATACCCCTTAGTGTCTGTTCTCGACTCAAATTCACACTGAGGTTGTCAACAGATTCTTGAATCACTCATTCACTACCACAGACAAGGAGGCCTGGTGCCACACCTATTTCTTCCCATGGGGGAGACCTGAAGTAATTTTCAGAATTAGGGTTCCCCATTTGGGGATCAAAAACAAGTCCAGCCTCAGCTAGCTGCTCCCACAGGAGATTCCAAGTTATAGATGAGCAATGGCTTAACCAGGATAATAACACTTATGGGATCTTGTTTCTATCTGATACCCAAATTCAGGGTTGCAAACACTGATCCCTGTATGGGGTGCTGCCTTTGCCTCAAAAAAAAAAAAAAAAAAGAAAGAAAGAAAGAAAGAAAAGAAAAGACAAAAACCAAACGCATGTCGTTAAGTAAGATCCGACTCATAGCGACCCCTTCTTGGGTTTCTGAGACAGTATCACTACAGAAGTAGATTGCCCAACCTTTCTTCCAAGGAGTGGCTGGTGGGTTTGAATCACCAGCCTTCTGGTTGCTACCAGAGCTCCTTCTGCATTATGATCACTAACAATAGTGATAATGAAAGCTTAACATTTAATGGGAAGTAACACTTTTTCACAAATGCCACAACACATACAACTACTGCTCTTTACTCTGGGCACATTATAGGCATCTTTCCATTTAATCCTGAGCAAAACTCCATGAGGAAATATCTTTAGTGTTTTACAGATGAGTAAATAGACTTAAAGAAGTTGGAAGAATTCAGGAATTCCTCTCCGAGGTACAGACTCAAAAGACTCAAAAGCAGGGACTCAAACAGATACTTGTACACATTCATAGAAGCATTATTCACAATAGGCAAAAGATGGAAACAACCTATGTGTCCATGGATGATTGATAAACAAAATGTGGCATATCCATCCATTTTCAGCTATATAAAAAAAAGAAGTCCTGATACATGCTATGATGATATGATTGAACCTTGAAAACGTGCTGAATAAAATAAATCAACTCCAAAGGACAAATATTGTATGATCTCACTTATAGGAAATATTCAGGAGATGCAAGTTCATAGAGACAAAAGTATATTAGTGATAACCTGGGCTTGGAGGGGATGGAAATTGGGGATTTCCCAAATAATCCAAGAAGGAAATAGTGAGAAGTGTTAAGTTTTTGTTTAAACCAAAACCAAACTCACTGCCTGTCATTGAGTCGATTAGACTCATACCCCTCCTTGGGTTTCTGAGGTGGTATCTCTACTGAAGTAGATTGCCCAATCTTCCTTCTGAGGAGTGGATGATTTAGGGAGATGAAAAACATTTGGAAATAGATAGTGGTAGTGGTAGGATAACAAGGTGAATGTACTTAATGTTATTGAACTGTACACTTAAATTGGTCAAAATGGCAAAAGTCTTGTTATATACATTTTAACCACATTTAAAACATTTGAAGATCCCTTCTTGTATTAAAGAAATATTTTTCATTGTAAATATGTATGTAACAAAACATTTGACACTTTAGCAATCTTCACATGTACAGTTCAATGACATTATTTATGTTCATCAATAGTTTAACCATTACCATTATCTTGTCGTCAATTTTACCATCACCCTTAACATAGGGAGTTCAGTGACTTCTAAGCATTGAGTCTTCCTTTTCCCCAGAAGATCCCTTCTTATAGAAGATTCTAGTGTCTTCCAGTGGTGAGAGGCAGAGCCAGTTCCCACACACAGATCTGCTAATTTCTACCCACATATCATTGAAAACCGGAAGCACTGGGAATCCAGGGCTATTGAGTCTCTTGAAAGAAGAACCAGTTGCTGTTGAGTGGATTCTGACTCATGACAACCTTATGTGCTCCATAAGGTTTTCAGTGTCTGCTTTTTCAGAAGTAGATAACCAAGCTTTCTCTCAAGGTACCTTTTGGTTGACTCAGACCAACAACCTTTTGGTTAGCAGCCAAGTGCTTAACTGTTTGCACCACCCAGGGAAGTCTGAGTCTTTCTTCATTCCTAGTGTTGTGCCTGGAGGGCAGCTATAAAGCCAACAGCCTCCCATGGCTCCTTGATATCTGGAAGTACAGCTACTTCTGCAATCAATACAGTTATACTTGCTCCCTGGGAAAATTGCATATCTTAAGAGGGAAGGGAAGGGAAGGTGGATGGAGACTGGGGCTGCTACTATTGCCGAGGACAACCATGCACCCAAGGTGGGCACTTAATAAAGCTATGGAAAGTCAGTCATTGTCTTGGGTCATGGCAGAGAATGTTAGAGCTGCTAGAGATTTGCAGAAGTCCAATGCCTTCATTTCTTAGGAAACAGAGCTCCAGAGAATTGAAATTATTTGTTCAAGATTATACAGAGAGATAATTGGAAAAAATATAAAAAGTAGTAATGCAGTTGTATCCAAAAGCATCATCTCATTTGATTCAATAGTCGAGTAACAGAGATATCATTATTATACCTGTTTTATGGATTTGTTGCTGAGCATTCTGAGGCTCAGAGAGGCTAAGGAACTTGCCTGAGGTCACACAGCTTGTAAATGGGGTAGCCTGTCTTCATAGTCTATCCAGTTCCCATAGGCTTTTGGCTTCAACATGCTCAACAGGTGGAACAATTTGACACTCTGAATACCTTAATCACAGTCTTAATTCCAAACAATATGCGCCACATTCTTCATAAAACCAAATTCATACTTGTCAGACAATTATAAGCTAGGCTGGAGTTTGGACCGCCTTGTAGGTGCACTGAGGGTTTTAGGTGAGCTGTGTAGCATCAGGCTGTAAGTTTGTTTTCAACACCAATCCCGCCCTTCCCTAAGCAGAAGCACACAGAATTCCCATCAACCCAGTACCTAGTCAATGTGGGATCAGGAGCACAGGCACCCTGGGCAGCCTCTCCTGAGCAGAGCACCCCAGCCTGTCCAGGCCAGAAGCAGTGAAGGGGCCCTGCAGGCTGTGTTTTGCTCCAGCCAATCTTCCAACTCAGTCCTATCGGAGTTTCTGGCAGGCTCTGGCTCCTTCCCCTTTTCAGAATCCACGAGGTAAAAACTTAATATAGGTTCAATGGCAGGAACACCCAGGCATCCAATTAACAGGGCAGTTTCAGATATAACTACAGCGGTTTTCTCTTTCCCAAAGCTCACTCAGTGAGAAAGCGCCTTGTTTCTTTGGATGCTGAAACCTGAGGACTTCCTAGGCTTTCGGAAGCACCTTTGAGGACCCTCTGTGCAGTGGCACCTGGACTTGAGATGCAGGAGCTCCCGTCTTCCTTTTTGGCTCCTACCTCTCTCCTGCTCCTCCCCCAGACTGGGCAGAATGGCTCAAATTGCCTTACAAAGAGCCAGCCCTTTTTCCCCTGTCAGGCAGGCCCAGGGAGAGGGGCCCACTACCCAGCTGCAAAGGCATTGTGCTTACTGTGCTTGGTTCTGCTCTCTGGGTCACTCCTGATAACCCCTGAAAATTTTCCCTGGTGGATGTGTTACCATTTAGCTCACAGAGAGTGTTGTGAGGAATGTGGTGTGCTCTGGATGTTGGCAGGCAGGGCGAGCCTCTATCCCTGTGGGAATGTGCAAATGAAAGGCCCAGGTTATCGACTGAGGAGGTTAGGTTGTCATCTGGTCATTGTGCAGCTCCTCT